AAGGGAATGTGTTCCCAGCTCCCTGCTGTAGGGGTTACTGTCCATGCTTCAGGTGCAAGCACACACATCTGGATAACCCTTGTCCAACCATTACTTTAGTCCCCCACAAGGGTCATGTTCCTTCCTACGCCACCCTAATGCTGTACAGGGGCTGGTCTCAGTGGCAGCCAACAGCATTTCTGTTCCTGGTTCCTCTTGTGGCTTTTGGAAGTGATTCGTTGGGCTGGTGTTGAAAGGCTCTGAAGTGTCTAAGGCTGCTGGGTGGCCCCTCAGGATACTTACAAACAGCGTTTACCTGAACAGGTCTTATGTGTGATTGTGAACATTCTGTATGGATGCACATGTTCATTCATCTGTCCACAGGTCTTTGGAATGAACCTACGTATTTCATTTTTAACCTGCCAGAGGGGAGACCAAGATGAGATCTCAGGCAGAAGTTCTTCCCTGTGAGGGTGCTGAGGTGCTGGCACAGGGTGCCCAGAGAAGCTGTGGCTGCCCCATCCCTGGCAGTGTTCAAGGACAGGTTGGACACCAGAGCAACCTACTCTAGTGGAAGGTGTCCCTGACTGTGGCAGGGGGGTGGAACTGTATGAGCTTTAAGGTCCTTTCCAACCGAACCGAAAACAATCTGTGCTTTCATGATTCTAAATCCATGTTCTTTACTTGTTAAAATCTTTGGAAGGGCTATACTGGCTATTTTCTCTCTCACTTTTTGTTATGTTTCCTGGTATTATCTAGAGAAAACCCATACAAGTATTTGGTTGATAATACCCTGACAGACAAGACTTTGTAGATGCCCTTTAAGTAACATTTACAGGTCCCAGTTTCCTTTTACTCAGCACCTATAATCTTAGTTCTTCAGAATATGCCCATCAGTGTCAGCTTTTATTTGCTCTCATAATCTGGAACCTTATGAGCAATTACTTAAAATACTAATTACAGGCAATCAGAAACCAGGATTCTTTATTTCAGAGGCATCCTATGAATCCATTTCTACAATACATCCCTTTCCCAACACAATATTTGCAATCAAGAGGATATACTGTGTCTTAGAAGTTGTAACAGCTCCATTTCTCACCAAGTTTTCCCTCTTCTGTTGTTTTATCTTCGGAGATAACCAGGTAAACAAGATGTCACAACACTGATCCGAGCTGCAGAAACCCCTCACCACCTCCAAGTGCTCATCATCAAGTGTTCATCATCACTCCACTTCTAAAGGACTTGTCTGTCTGTCCCCAGCCACTGTCACCGAAGCAGCTGCCCAGTGTCTCTTGTTCTTCCACAGGTCATTGCGCCTTGTCACTCTCAGAAGAGCTTAGGAAAGGAACACGATGATCCAAGTTGTTGTGTTCGCTCTGCTCCAGCATTATCCAAGGTCCTAGTGAGTTGTCACAGATCTGGGGAGATACTGTTGGAGGGAATTTAATCCATGGCTTGAAGAAACTCCCATTGCAAGTGCCACCACACACACTCCGAGGAGATGTTTTCCCTTTGCAGCAGGAGAATCTGCTGAGTCTCCTCAAAATTCAGTGTCATGAGCTCCCATTCACGATTGGGAAACGTCTAAAATGCCAAAGGCAACTTGACATATAAAAAGGGGATTTAGGGTGTGTGTGAGGAATTGTGAAAGCTAATAGTATAGCTGGGATTTCATCAAAACTGCTGCTTTCCGGGGAGCTTTGATTGGGAAGATCTGTATTTGGAATGATTGGGAACTACTAACAAAGGCTGAAACCTCAAGAAGGGGCTGCAGAAAAGTGCATTATTGTACAAGGTGGTTTGCAAGATGTCATAAAGATACAGGAGTCCACTTAGTCACTGCGACCAGTTCCAATGATTTTGTTCTTTTATTCTCTTCTCTATTGCAGGGTGTGTTTCTAGGCAGGCCCAAATATGGCAAAGCTCAACTGAGAATCTGTCAACAGCACTGTGCTGATGAACATAATAAATCGAGTTCCACCTTCACGCCCATGTGGCCCCAGCCCACCTCCAGGAGCGGATAAAAGGGAATGCCTGGAGCTGTGGAGCCAGAGAAGACTGTGCACACTTCTCTCTGCACTCATCCCACAGCAGCACAGCTCCATTGGACCTTCTGCTCCGCTTGGTTTTGACTCTGCTTAGAAGACCCAGCCATGTCTCGGCAGTCTGTCTGCAGAAGCTTTGGAGGCGGGAGTAAAAGGGGCTACAGCTCTTGTTCTGCCATTGGTGGTGGCTTTGGAGGAAGTGGAGGCAGAAGCAGGATCAGCTACAGCTCATACTCCTCATCCAGGGGAGGTGGAGGAGGTGGACAATGTGGAGGGTTTAGCAGCAGGAGCCTCCATAACATGGGTGGCAGCAGAAGAATTACTATGGGTGGAGGATATGGTGGTGGAGGATATGGAGGCAGAATGGGTGGCTTTGGTGGACAATGTGGAGGAGGAATGGGTGGCTTTGGTGGTGGAATGGGTGGCTTTGGTGGTGGAATGGGTGGTGGTGGAATGGGTGGCTTTGGTGGAGGAATGGGGGGTGGAGGAATGGGTGGCTTTGGTGGAGGAATGGGCGGTGGAGGAATGGGTGGTTTTGGTGGCCCTGGCTTCCCTGGGGGCATCCAACCGGTGCAAGTTGACTCAAGCCTCCTGCGGCCGGTCCATGTCGAGATTGACCCACAAATCCAGCAAGTGAAAAACCAGGAGAAGGAACAGATCAAGAGTCTTAATAACCAATTTGCCTCCTTCATTGACAAGGTGAGAGTGTAGGACCAGGCTTGGTCAGAGGTGGGAATTCTGAATGACTTTCCTCAGGTGTGGCAAGGGAACTTTTGTTTCTTTCCAACAAGGGTTTGTTGGAGTTTGCCTTAGCAGCAAGTTGATAGTAACGTTTTACTAAGTACTAGGGAACAATGGGCAAGGTTTGCACCTTCGTAGAGGATGAAAGGGAACATCTGCAGGACATTGTGTAGATTCTCTTGCCTTGTCATCTCTTCAGCCTAATTTCTAGTGATTCAGAGTAAAGTCATCCTTGTGCGTTCAGTTGCCCAAAGAGTTCTTATTATTGGACTTCTCCTGATGAAGCTTTGTTTTCAGAGATCTGATTCTATAAACTTCAGAGTCCCAAACACCTTTCCAATGCTCCAAAGTTCCAAAGAGAAAACAAAGAATTCCCTGTAAATGAATTTGTCTACAGTTAGGTAAAAAATGTACTGGTTTTCTTGACTTCACTACTGCAGAGATGACAGCAATGTCCAGACTGATGCTATGGGAAACAGGGATGCTGGTTTCCCTTGGTGACAACTTTTTGTCCCAAAGTGACAAGTTGATAATGACTCAAAGTTTAATAATGCTTGTCATGGCATTAGGAGCTTGGATGTGTGAATAAGGCATAATTGGGGATTTGGGAAGTGATTCCCTTGGTGTCCAGCATCAGCAGGTTTGATTTGGATGGTGTTCCTCACACATCCCTTGGTGGGCTTTCAGGTCCGCTTCCTGGAGCAACAGAACAAAGTCCTGGCCACCAAGTGGGAGCTGCTCCAGCAGCAAGGACCTTCAGGGCCAAGGAAGAACCTTGACACCATCTTTGAAAGCTACATCCAGAACCTGAGGAGGCAGCTGGATTCAATCCTGGGACAGAGGGGACAGCTTGAGTCAGAGCTGCAGAACATGCGGCAATATGTGGAGGAGTACAAGACCAAGTAAGTGCCCTGGCAGGCTCAGGAAGGAGCAAGCAGCAGCCTGGAGAACAGAACTTGGGCATTCCCATAGGCTTCCCACTGCTGAGGAGCTCTGGAGAAATGGGGCTGAGGGAAGAAGGATTCTGTGGTTGACCCATGAACAGTCCAATAGACTCATCTGATCTTGTCCCCTTCTACAGGTATGAAGAAGAAATCAACAGGCGCACTGCAGCTGAGAATGAGTTTGTGGTGCTCAAGAAGGTAAGTTACAGAGGCAGGAGGAGAGGAGGTGCAAAGATACTGGAAGAGGGAAGCAGGAAGACGGGCAGCTTCCAACAGGAGCATTGGCTGCCAACAGCTCTTCTGGGGTGGAATGAAGCTGATGTGATCTTTCCTTTAGGATGTGGACAATGCCTACATGACTAAAGTAGAGTTGGAAGCCAAGGTGGGAGCTCTGACCGACGAAATCAACTTCCTGAGATATATCTTTGAGGAGGTAAGAGCTCTCCCTTCCCCGGACTGGCTGTAGTTGTAATAACACGTATGGTGGCCGAAGACACTGTGATTTGACAGGGTTTCCATGTGGATTTGGTCTTGAGACTCACATGGGCTGCCTGTCTTGGTTGCAGGAACTGTCTCAGATGCAGACCATCAGCCGGGACCTGTCTGTGGTGGTGTCCATGGACAACAGCAGGAACCTGGATATGGACAGCATCATTGAGGAGGTCAGGCGCCA